TTCAACCCCGTTAGGCCCATTGGGATACTAACGCTAAACTGCTAATTCCCCCAAAACTAGGCTGAGATCCTGACGACATAGTGAGGCAGTGTGGTCTCCCTCCGACCCAGACGGGGAGGGACAACCACCACCTGGACTACAAGGCCAAATAACCAAAGTGTGATCAAGCAATTGACTATACAATTTATAGGCAATTCTGCATCCAGGCTACTCTGCTCCTCACTCCCTTCCCATCTGTTAGAGCAGCAGTGGTATCTGGACCGTCTACATCTTTGTTCTCCTCTCCTGTGCTGGCTGAAAGGTGGGGGTTTGATGAAACTGGGACTAAAACTCTCAAATTCAAATCTGCCAGTGAGTGGCAGCAGCTATCAAATTGTGTGACAAATGATAAATGTGAAAATTTTTGTTCTGTGTTGCATCATAATTTAGAGTCCAGTGTTTTTTAATTATAAAAAGCTGTTTTGAAGGATATTGTGACGGTGTAGACTAGCTCCGGAGGCTCCCTGCTGGAGGCCTTGCGGCCCTGCCTCACCTCACCCCAGAAAAGAGCAGAGAAGCATTCCTTCAGGCAGCCTAGAGTGGCTGCAGGGGAGCAGCCAATCAGGGGCCAGAAGGGCCATATAAAAGGAAGCAGAAGAGGAAGAACAGTCAATTGCTGCCTGGAACTTGAAGAGGGAGGACTGGGTTCCTGGCCGGCCAGAAGAAAGAACAGCAGGACTGTGGACTGCTCACTGCAGGTAGGACTGAGCCCAGAGAAGGCTGCCAAATACCAGGTGCCTGGCTGGCTGGAAGAGCAGCAATGCAGGCAAGCTGAACTCAGGGGACTGAGTCAAAAACCTAGCCAGACTGGTTGAGGGTACTGTGATGGGTCATGCTGGTCTGGCTGAAGATTAAGCCCAGGGGGGCTGCCAAAAGGACACCAACTGGGGGTATCAATATGGGCCCCTGATGGGCTGTTAAAGACAGCAATGTCTCTAGGAAGGAAGCCTTAGTGCTACAGCCACATACCAGTGCTGTGAGAAAGAACTAGAGACTGTATACCCTGGAAGGAGGGACAGTGTCTGACTTGGCTGGAAGGCTGAGTCACTGAAGACCTGCCGAAAGAACAATCGGCTGTGGGGGGCACTCATGAAATTGACCAAACTGTGAATTTGGTAGGGCCCTTGGTGTGACTGTACTGTAATACATAACCCGTGGTTGGCCTGGGTCAGCTGACTCCAGTTTGCAGGGCTCAGGCTGTGGGACTATAAAATTGCAGTGTAGACATTTTTCAGAGTAGCAGCTGTGTTAGTCTGTATTCGCAAAAAGAAAAGGAGGACTTGTGGCACCTTGAGTTATGAGGAGAGGCTGAGGGAGCTGGGATTGTTTAGCCTGCAGAAGAGAAGAATGAGGGGGGATTTGATAGCTGCTTTCAACTACCTGAAAGGGGGTTCCAAAGAGGATGGCTCTAGACTGTTCTCAATGGTATCAGATGACAGAACGAGGAGTAATGGTCTCAAGCTGCAGTGGGGGAGGTTTAGATTGAATATTAGGAAAAACTTTTTCACTAAGAGGGTGGTGAAACACTGGAATGCGTTACCTAGGGAGGTGGTAGAATCTCCTTCCTTAGAGGTTTTTAAGGTCAGGCTTGACAAAGCCCTGGCTGGGATGATTTAACTGGGAATTGGTCCTGCTTCGAGCAGGGGGTTGGACTAGATGACCTTCTGGGGTCCCTTCCAACCCTTATATTCTATGATTCTTAGAGACTAACCAATTTATTTGAGCATAAGCTTTCGTGAGCTACAGCTCACTTCATCGGATGCATAAAGTGGAAAATGCAGTGAGGATATTTTATACCCCCAGACCATGAAAAAATGGGTGTTTATCACTTCAAAAGGTTTTCTCTCCCCCCACCCCGATCTCCTGCTGGTAATAGCTTATCTAAAGTGATCACTCTCCTTACAATTTGTATGATAATCTAGGTGGGCCATTTCCAGTACAAATCCAGGGTTTAACAAGAACGTCTGGGTGGGGGGGTGGTGGGGTTAGGAAAAAACAAGGGGAAATAGGTTACCTTGCATAATGACTTAGCCACTTCCAGTCTCTATTCAAGCCTAAGTTAATTGTATCCAATTTGCAAATGAATTCCAATTCAGCAGTCTCTCGCTGGAGTCTGGTTTTGAAGCTTTTCTGTTGTAATATCGCAACTTTCATGTCTGTAATCGCGTGACCAGAGAGATTGAAGTGTTCTCCGACTGGTTTATGAATGTTATAATTCTTGACATCTGATTTGTGTCCATTTATTCTTTTACGTAGAGACTGTCCAGTTTGACCAATGTACATGGCAGAGGGGCATTGCTGGCACATGATGGCATATATCACATTGGTAGATGTGCAGGTGAATGAGCCTCTGATAGTGTGGCTGATGTTATTAGGCCCTGTGAAACCAGACTCCAGCGAGAGACTGCTGAATTGGAATTCATTTGCAAATTGGATACAATTAACTTAGGCTTGCATAGAGACTGGGAGTGGCTAAGTTATTATGCAAGGTAACCTATTTCCCTTTGTTTTTTCCTACCCCCCCCCCCCACCTCAGACGTTCTTGTTAAAACCTGGATTTGTGCTGGAAATGGCCCACCTTGATTATCATACACATTGTAAGGAGAGTGATCACTTTAGATAAGCTATTACCAGCAGGAGAGCGGGGTGGGGGGAGAGAAAACCTTTTTAAATGATAAACACCCATTTTTTCATGGTCTGTGTGTATAAAACATCCTCACTGCATTTTCCACTGAATGCATCCGATGAAGTGAGCTGTAGCTCACGAAAGCTCATGCTCAAATAAATTGGTTAGTCTCTAAGGTGCCACAAGTATAGACATTTGGGCTCAGGTTGGAACCTACGCTCTGAGACCCCACAAAGGGAGAGGATCCAACAGCCTGGGCTCCTGCTCAAGCCTGAACATCTACACTGCAATTTTATAGCCTCACAGCCTAAGTCAGGTGATCTGGCCAGCTGCAGTTGTATCACAGGTCTTCTGTTGCACCACAGATGTACCCTTTGAATCCCAGCATAGACCACCACATGACCTACAAGAGTAATTGCTAATCTCAGTGCAGACAAGGCACTAGAAGAGGTCTTGACACACACTTTATCAGTGGGCGTTACAGTGGGGTACACAATTATCTGCTGGATAGCAATATTGCAGATAAGGAATCCTGGGTTAAATCCCTGGCTCTAGGACAGAAGGTTGGCAATAGACTAACCAAAGCATGTATGGCACATTTAATCTGAAAGGCAGGTTGGTCAGTGGATAAAATTTAGGTCTGTCATTAGAGACCTGGATTCTATTCCTAGCTTTTCCTCTAGTGGTTTTGTGCAGCCTCTATTTACTTGTATGTAAAATAGGGGAGGGCTAATATTTGACTATCTTCTAGGTTTGGAGTATTAGGCCTTGCTCAATGAGGGTTGTGAAATGCATGGGAAATATAAGCACCAATTAATAGAGGTGAGATTTGAATTCATGGTCTTCTGGCTCAGTGCACTTTCCTGTAGGCTACTGAGTCTATGTCTACTTTTTTGGTGCAGCAGTACTGGTGTCCCATTTCATCAGAAATGCAGAACATCCTGCAAAATCCAGTACACATGAAAACTCTGCCTGGGACAAAACCCTCAGATCAACTTGTTCCATGCCTCTCAAGTGTCCCTCATTTTGTCCCGAAGTTCCTTATTTGGTGTCTCCTCACTTTTTGTTTCTGATGTGAACAATTTTCATCCATAAGAGTCTTGAAGCTGAGATTAGAGTCATTGACACCATGGAAAGAATCTCACTGCATTTTAAGTTTGCATGAATAATTTGTCTTGTGTATTTAGGTCTTTCTCAGATGTTGCATCCCACATTTGGCTGTGGTAGATTGACAGGTATGACTCCATAAATTGGGACGTGTTGGTCTGACTCTCCAACCTCCATGGGAAGTCCTCTCTGCCACACCACTCTTCAGCCAGCTGGTTCTGCTGACTCTCATGTGACATCAGCTTGGCAATCTGCCCCCATGTGTGCTCGCTCTCGCGCGCGTGTGTGTGCTCACACGCGCTCACACACACACGTAATGACCAGGGCTGGCCTTAAGGCAAAGGGCACTGTGGGCCCACTCACATTTTGGTACCCCTGGCCTCCTCTGCTTCCTCCCACTGCTTAAGTTGTAATGAAAGAGGTGCCCCACCACAAACTAAGCACTGTCTGGGCAGCTGGAGAGGGCAGCTGCTGGCTGGATGCCCTGCCCTGAAAGCTTCCCTGCTGCTGGTGACAGTGTTGCCTTCAAAGGGTGGCATGGCATGGTATTGACACCCTTACTTCTGTACTGCTTCTGGCAGCAGCACTGCCTTCAGAGCTAGGTTGCTGGGGCTATGAACTGTCAAGCCCTGGCACAAATTAAGCACTGCCTTCTCCCCACATTGCCCTGAGCTCCCTTCCATCACCTTGCACCCCATGCCCACCCCACGCCTTGCCTCTTGACTACAGCACCCTGGACAGTCGCTCACCCCTAAGGCTGGCCCTGGTAATGACTGTGAGGTATGGATTGAACGATATATTAAACAAATATTCCTTTATTAACACACTGGAAAAAGGGTGTGAGCTGGCAAAATTTGCAGGTGACAAAATTATTTAGGTTAGTCAAGACTGAGTAGCTGCAGCGATTTCATTAACACAGGAGAATGGACAACACAATGGCAGATGAAATTCAGTGTTGATGATAAATAAAGTATTGCATATTGGATTAGAGAATTAGAGAAAAAACAAACCACATATGTTAGCCACTTCACTTAGGCCTTGTCTACACTGCCAAGTTTTTTTTGGGGGAAAGACAACTTTTGTTGACAAAACAGTGGAGGTGTACATACAATGCCACTTTCAGTGACACCACAACTCAGTTTCATGACTAAATAAAACCACCTTGCCAAGAAACAAAGGGCTTTTACGGAAAAGTTTCATTGACAAATTGCCAGTGTAGACACTGTGCTTGATTTTTATCACTTTAATTGGCCTCCAGAAGGCGTCCCACAATGCCCATCCTGACTGCTCTGGTCAGCACTTAGTTGCAACTCTGCTACCCTGCAGCCAGGTAAGCAACCTCCCCCTTTAAAACGCCAGGAATTTTTGAAATTCTACTTCTTGTTTGCTCGGTGTGGAGAGCTTACATCACATCTTCCCAGCCGACCAGGGTGGCTCCATGCAGCAGATGCTCTCCCGCTTGGACCACTGCGGAGCTACTAGATCCGCTCAGAAGTTGGGGAGAGGATGCTGTACAGTCCCAACTGCACTCCAGCCATAAGAATTTTGATACCTATGGGCAGATTTCTTGAAGCTTGTGTAAGAAGGGCTATGATCAGGATACGGTGCAGAGCAGAGCAAAGGTCAAGGAGCTGAGGCAGGCATACCAGAAGGCAAGGGAGGCAAACCGTTGTTCCAGTGCTGAGCCCCAGACTTGCCATTTTTATAAGGAGTTGGACGCTATCCTCTGTGGCCACCCCACCTCCACCGCTAAGATCCCCATGGATACTTCGGCAGGTCTGGGGCTGGTAGAAAGTGGACCTAACAGTGACGATGAAGAGGTAGAGGCAGAGAACAATGTGGAGCCCACCTTGGGGTTGCCCGCTGGTGTGTCCAGTCAGGAACTGTTCTCCACTCCAGAGGTGTCTAGCCAGTCTTGGCAGTCGCAATCCAGCAAGCAAGAAGCAGGAGAGGGGACTCCTGGTAAGTGGTTTATCTTTGTGAAGTGAGGTGGTGTGTTGAGGGCATAGAAATGTAGAAGGCTGGCTGTGGTTCTCTGCTGGACTTTTCCCTGTGCAGCTAGGCAGTATGGCAGAACAGGGTGTTGATGCACACTGAGATTTCACGGGAATCCTCCAGAGATATCTCTAGGAAACTTTCCTGGAGGTACTTGGCAATTCTCTGCCAAAGGTTCCTTGGCAGAGCTGCTTTGTTCCTTCCCCCATTGAAGGAAACTTTCCCACACCATTCTGCAATCACTTGCATAGATACCAAACTGGCACACAGGCGACCAGTATAGGGGCCAGGGCAGAAGCTGCAAGCTTGTAGTAGATGCTCCTTTTCCCTGCTTACCCTCAGGAGTGAGATGTCTGGCACAATGAACCCTGCCTGTTGAAAAGGGTGGGAAAATCTAGAATATTGTCCCTAGACCACTTCTCTTGGATTTTCTCCCCCAGTACAATGCTCCCCGCCCCAGGGGAAACTCACCATGCCTGGGGTGTTTGGTGGCACGTGGACTTGTCAAGGTTCAATGTGAAAGTATGTTAGCAGAGGTGTATTTTCTACCCTGTTTCAATGCTGTACATGTAGTTAACAATCATGCCTCTGTGTATTTGTGCTGCTTCAGCTGTGGCCTTGACAGGCATCCCCTACATACCTGTGGAGTGCCTCCACTGGCTAAAAAGTGCCTGAGACAGAGCAAGGAAGACATGTTCCTGCCGGTGATGGAATGCTCAGATGCCAAAACAAGGAATGCAGGCAGAGGAGGGAAAGAGTCAGGAAATAGCAGAAAATGAGGCCTATTCTGTGGCTGCAATGGAAGGGATAATTAAAGTGATGGAGAAGCAAAACAGGCTCTTATAACGCTCCAGCGTGAACAGATGCATGCCCACTGTCCCCTTCAGCACATTCAGAACTCTCTCCCATGCCCTCCCCAAAATTCACCCACAAATTCCTTTCTGCTGTCTGGCGTTTCTCACTATCCCCCTCACTACACCCCCATGGAAACCTTTTTAAATGAGAGCTGGACTTAAGCACAGCTGTGAAAGTTGGCCCTCCCTTAGTACCCCCTCGCCCTCCTCAAGCATTGGTGCTTGTGGTGTGAAGATTTTTTTTTTTTTTTTGGTGCAATAACTGCAAAGTTTTTTGAATGATAACTCTTTTTATTTTTTCCCCAGCAAATGATTTCATTGCTTTACATTGAATCCTAGGCCACAAAAATCACAAGTGCTGCCTTGCAAACATCGATTGCATTAAGCACTGTAGTCCATAGTATAGCAACATTCATTACTGGTTCTCATCTTCAAAGTGTCCCTGATTCAAATAGTCTCCTGTGTCCCTCTAACAGCCCTGGTATCTGGCTGCTGAAAAGTAGCTGCCAGGCGTTCACCCCCCCCAGCAGTCCACCCCTGAGCAAACTTTTCATCCTTACCTGCACAAATATTGTGCAACACAGGACTCTGACCATGGGATTATTATCGTCATTTAGGTCTAACCTGCCCTAAAGGCATCACAAGCGCACCTTTAATCTGCCAAATGCATATTCTATTGGCATCCTACACCTACTCAGCCTGTTGCTGAACCACTCCTTACTGCTACCTAGGTTTCCCGTGTAAGGCTTCATGACTCATGCCATTAAGGAGTACACAGAGGATCCCAAAATCACTATGGGCATTTCAACATCCCCTACTGTAATTTTCGGGTCTGGGGGAAAAAAAGCCTCCACTTTCAGCTTTCTGTACAGGCTGTGTTCCTGAAGATATGAAAGTCATGCACCTTTCCCAACCACCCTGCGTTGCTGTCAGTGAAACCCACAAGTGCCTGCACCACCACGGAAAAATACCCCTTCCTATTGATATACTCCATCGCAAGACTGTCTGGTGCCAAAATTGGAATAGACATGCCATCTATCACCTCTCTGCAGTTAGGGAAAACCATTGCTGCAAAGCCATCCACTATTTCACACTCATTACCAAGAGTCACGGTTCTTTGCAGCATGGTGTAATTAATGGCCCTGCACACTTGCGTTAACGCAGCCCTAAAGGTCAACTTCCTGACTCCAAACTGATTTGTGACTGAACAGTAGCTGTCTGGAGTGGCCAGCTTCCGTGCTGTGATCGCCACATGCTTCTCCAGTGAGAGGGCAGCTCTCATTTGGGTGTCCCTGCACCAGGGCTAGGGCAAGCTCAGCACACAGTTCCAGGAAAGTAGCTTTCCTCATCTGAAAGTTCTCGTCATCCCACACCTGCATAACTACGCGATCCCACCACTCAGTGCTTGTTTCAGGAGCCCAGAAGCAACAATCCATTGTGTGCAGCTGCTCCGTGAATGTCAGAAGCAATCTAACGTTGATCCTATCAGTGTTAGCATGTCAGGCAACTGTGATTCCTGTTGACTTCAGAACTTCAAGCTTAACGGCACTGCCGTTTGCCATGCACTACTGACAGCTGGCAGAGCATGGGAAAGCAATGCGGGATCCGTGGGGGGTGAGCAGAAAACAAGGGATGTTGAAAAATGCTGCGAACCGAAGACGGGCGCGCAGGGACGGAAAGCAGTGCCGCCTGGCACCGTGAGCCCGGACCCACGAGGCGCTGGGATCCATCCCGCCTTCTCAGCAGCCCTAGCAGCAGCGAGCGGAGAGCTGAACGGTGAGCGAGCTTCCCGCGCGGCGTGACTTCCGCGGCTGAGGAACCGACCCAGCTGCGGCTGGGCTGTGACCACAGAGCAAGGCCGTGGGGACACGCGACACGAGTGTCTTTAGCTCTTCGGATCGCTGCCAGAGACAGCCAGCCCGCGCCGACAGCGCCGAGGGGCAGGGCAGGGCAGGGCGGGCGGACGCTCAGAAGCCGGGCGACGAGCCGCTGTGGGCGGGAGACACGCGAAGCCCCCCCCGGCAGGGCGCTGACGGGCGCTGGGCTGCGGCGGGGCCCTCACGGCCGGTGCTCGGCACGCGGCGCTCGCTGAAGAAACAAGGAGGCGGCCGAAGAGACCAGAGGCCGAGCGCTGATGCCCGCGCGGGGCTCAAGGCCGCCGCCCCGCCTCAGGGGCCTGGGTCCGCCCTTCGTCGCGGCCGCGGCGGGGGCTCGGAGGAGGCGGGGGCGAAGCTCAGGGGCCCTGTCAGGAGGGAAGGGCAGAGGCGGGGGCTGGTTACCACCGACAGGGCACGCAGGAGAGGCTGCGATAAACGCTCCATCGCCTCGCAGCCCAGCCCGGCCGGCGGGGCTCCGTGTCCCCGCCACCGCCGCAGCGGCCGGGCCGCGCCCAGTGAGCTGCAGCCTCAGAGCATTCAGAGCGCGAGCCCCGTCCCCGGCCCGGCCAGCCCGCGCCTCGCCCCGCCCCGCCCGGCCGGCCCCGCCTCGGCTCCCCCCCCCCCCCCCCCCCCCCCCCCCCTCGCCTCGGCCCCCGCCCCGCCCGGAGCCCGGCCCCGCCTCGCCCCGCCCCGCCCGGAGCCCGGCCTGGCCTCCCGCCCCGCCCGGAGCCCGGCCCCGCCCCGCCTCGCCTCGGCCTCCCGCCCCGCCCGGAGCCCGGCCCCGCCCCGCCTCGCCTCGGCCTCCCGCCCCGCCCGGAGCCCGGCCCGGCCTGGCCTCCCGCCCCGCCCGGAGCCCGGCCCCGCCCCGCCTCGCCCCAGCCCGGCCCGGCCTGGCCTCCCGCCCCGCCCGGAGCCCGGCCCCGCCCCACGCCGCGCCTGGAGCCCGGCCCTGCCCCGGCCTAGCCGAGCGCTCAGCCCTGAGCTGGGAGCGGTGGGTTGCGCCGAGCGCCGCTGGGGTCGCTGAGCGGCCGGGCCCCGCCTCCGCCTGGGGGGCGGCCCGAGTCCCGGCTGCGCGCGGAGGCGACCGGCAGCCCGCGGGCCGGCGACGCGCTGGCGAACGGGCAGATTGTCGCCGGGCCCGCGGCTGGTCGGCCGGCCTGCGCTCTCCCCCGAGCCCGGGGCCGGTTTCGCGGCAGTCCGTGCGCACCCGGAGGGGGATGGGCGGGGGCCCGGCCCCCCCGGCCCTGCCTGGGAGCCCGCTCTTGCGGGGACTTTATCCAGCGGGGCTTGGCTCCCCTCGCGCTGCTGAGCTCGCGGGCCGAGCGGCCTGGAGCTCGCCGGGCTCGCTTCTCCCAGGCGGCGGCTGTAGGCCCCCCAGGGACCGCTTCGCTGCGCCCTGCTCGCCCCAGGCAGCGTCGCGGTGTCTCCCCTGCTTCCCTTCGCTCTCCGCTCACCCTTGTTCCCGCGCGCTGCGCCTCTCTCGCAGGCTGAGCATGTCCCGGCATGGCGCCGCCGAGCCGGACCCGGACTCTTCAGGTGGTGGACACTGAGCACAGCGCGGACGCTGTGGAGTGGTGCCCCGTGGAAGGCTGGCACAGCCTCCTGGCTTGTGGCACCTACCAGCTGAAGAAGCCTGGTGGAAAGGTAGGTGACGGAAGTTGTGGTATCAGGAGGACTAATTGAACAGCAAAAAGAAAAGGAGGACTCGTGGCACCTTAGAGACTAACCAATTTATTTGAGCAGTGGGCTGTAGCTCACGAAGGCTCATGCTCAAATAAATTGGTTAGTCTCTAAGGTGCCACAAGTCCTCCTTTTCTTTTTGTGAAACTTTGTAAGTGCACTCTCTATGCCATTATACAAATCGCTTATGAATATACTGAATAGAACCAGACCTAGGACAAAAAGAAAAGGAGGACTTGTGGCACCTTAGAGACTAACCAATTTATTTGAGCCATGAGCTTTCGTGAGCTACAGCTCACTTCATCAGATGCATACCGTGGAAACTGCAGCAGACTTTATATACACACAGAGAATATGAAACAATACCTCCTCCCACCCCACTGTCCTGCTGGTAATAGCTTATTGAACAGCAGTGACCTAGGCCAGTCCTGCTGACCTCTCATGCATTGTGTGAACTGAAAAAAGGAGTACTTGTGGCACCTTAGAGACTAACCAATTTATTTGAGCATAAGCAATGAAGTGACCTGTCATTAAGGTGCCACAAGTACTCCCTTTTTTTTTTTGCGAATACAGACTAACACGGCTGCTACTCTGAAACCTGTGTGAACTGAGTTCAGCTTCCTTGCGTTTTCAGATTGTTGCTACCCCATTCCCAGCAGTAAAGTGCACAAATGTGACATCTTGTTCGGACACAACATAAGAGAATAAGAATCTGGCCTAACCCAAACCCCCAGATCCAGACAAGCCTGAATTCAGGGAAATACCTTACTACATTGAAATTGCTTAGCTTACATCCATTCCTGACTTGCATTGTGCATTTGTCTGCACTGGGTGGTGGGGTAGTTCCCTTGAAATGTATCTCATCTTCTGGTTTCTCAGGGACTCTGGGTGTGTGTCACTCTCACCCTGCCAAGGCCTAAGTGTGGGGAAAAGACTCAAAATTGAGAGAGACAGGTGAACTATCAAAGTTGGCAGCTGTAGAGAATGTGGGAGGCATTTCTGAAGTATAAATATTTTCTATAGCCTCAGTAAAAAGCACACAAACAAAAAACCAAACCCCCAATTGTGGAAGGATAGTTGTGCTCTAAAGCCTTGTAATTGGGGACAATGAAGAGACTGATTAAGTATATCTCTGGTTGTAGTTTTGGGATTTTGTGTTGGTCTTTTCTTTGTTGCTACTTTTACTGAAAATAGAAAATCAAAAATAAAAAGAACTCTGGACTTGTTAGAAGAGCTTCCAAGTCCTCTCTGTTTGCTACTTGCTTCCAGTATGTGAATAACTGTGTAAATACAGTGTTGTGTTGGTTATGGGGTTGATGCATTAGGGCTGGAACTGTGGTGAGGGGGTCCACCCAAAGGAATTCAGTACAGGATCTGGCCCTTTATATAGTGCTGATCTCTGAAAAAAGAAAAGGAAGACTTGTGGCACCTTAGAGACTGACAAATTTATTTGAGCATAAGCTTTCATGAGCTACAGCTCACTTCATCGGATGCATTCAGTGAGATTCAGGATGCTGATCTCTGGTAATTTGGGAATGTTTAATTGTGTGTCTGATATTTTCATGTAAAGTGTGGTTCTACTCCGAAAATCACTGTAAAATTGGCATTGTGAATTTCACATTTGCTGTCTCCTAGTGACTTAGATACAGTGTGCTTGGTTAATATGTAAAAAGGTGTGTGGTGGTGGTTTGGTGGCTGCTTCCCCCCCGCTAGCTGTACAGACTCACTCTGAAAGCTGAGAGTGAAGCTGGGTTCTTCGTATCTCTTTCATGACTACCATGATCACTACCAAAGATCCACTGGGCCAAATTATGCCTTCAGTGACACCTGTGTGGTCTCATTGGCCTTCAGTGGGTTGCTCTGGTGTAGCTGCTGAGAACTTGGTTAACAATTTTGATGATTATGTACAACATGGAATAGATCCCAATTCCCCCTTTTATAGTTGTGTTGGCTGTGCAAGATTATTAGAAGAAAAACACAACTAAAAAAAACTAGAGTTAAAATTAGCAACTCTGAATCTTAGAGCTGGCAAAACTGTGAGTAAGTAGTGACCAATTGTACAGTCACTTTTTTTCAAAGCAGAACAGCACTTTGAATTGCTTCCATCAAGTGGCAGGGCATTACCCTGTTCACTTGCATACTCCCATATTGAAAACCACTTCCACTGCACCTTCAACATAAATTGTGTTCTTGTCTGATCTTGAGAACTAAGCAGTGTACTTGTATGGGAGACTTCCAAGGAATGCCTAGGTGGTGCATGATGCTCATTCAGTAGGTAGCATGCTTTTTTCTGAGTCAGTCTTGAATCAGTGCTACAGCATGGTGTTAAGAGGAGCTGAGCTGTGGGAGGGTTGCCTTTCTGAAAGGTGCAATACAAAGGTATGCTTATGGACTGTTTATTGCTAAAGAGCCCATGGCCCTTTTCATAAGGGTAGAGAGTGTTAGCCCTTGTTTCCTAGCCAAATATCAGCTCACTCTGCCTCCCTACATTCCTTCTCAGTTAACTAAATATGGGAATCTAATACTCGTTCCTGCCCTAAACGGTTGTTGAGTGTCACTGAGGGCTGTTAAACAGTTGCAGAGTTCCATCCCAGAGCTGGGTGAAGTGATACAGTTATCCTTTACCTGCCTCCTAACAGAGCTTGGGGCCTGATTTTTCAGAGTTGCTGAGGTTGTGTAGCTATCATTGGCTTTTCCTGGAGTTGCGGCTGCTTGGCATCTCTGAAAAATGTCACTCTTAGTGACTTTCCCTAGATCCTACAGCATGTTTTTGATAGAGCTGGGAACTCAACTCAATGAGTGCTGACTCTATTCCATGCTCTGGCTAGTAGATGTTGGTTAGCTTTCTGGCAGGATCTTTGAGGGAGGAATGTTACAATGTATGAAAGAGGTGAGAAAATAGCCCCTAAAGCTTACAGACTTCCCTTCCCCTTGTTCGATGCAGCCTGGTGTAAACCCCAGTGAGAGTGATGAGGCCCACACACGGCTGGGTCGCCTCTACCTGTATCGCTACAGTGAAGAGCAGCCTTTTATCCCACTGACTGAAATTCAAAGGATTGAAACCGCTGCCATCCTAGACATCAAATGGTAATGCTGGCTAGTGAGGGGGGACATCAGGCTCCTTTGGCACTTGTGCCAAGGGCTATCTGTGGCTGGGTTGCTGCTCTAGGTGTTCTTCCTTTCTCTCCGACCGCCAATAGCTTCTACTGCAGTAACGAATAAGCAGCTTCTTGTGATCACATTGCTGTACAAGGTTTCTGGCTTTTAGTTTCATAACGTTTGTAGTATTGTTCTGTTCTAGGATGAAAAATACCAGTAAGCCACTCCTAGCTCTCAGTGTGGGCATCCCACACTTGAACTGTGCCTGTTGTGTATCCAGCCTTAGGGCAGTTCTGTCAGTGTTTGTGGAACCAGGGGAAGCAGCAGGATAGACAGTAGCAGCTGGGGGTGCTAGCTTTTCATTGGCTTTGAAAACTAGTTTTAAAGCTATGATTCTTTTTAAATTAATAACCTTCCCCCCCCCCAACCCTCCACCAAGTATCAGCTGAGGGCAGGGGGAGCCATTTTAGAGAGTGAGATGGGTGCCGCTGGGAGCAAAAGCTGCATTAGGGGATAGGATCTTGTCTCCCTCAACCCCCATGGGGAACAGGAGCTATGCAAGTTGCAGTAAGAGAGTCTGCTGCCTGGCTGAGACCTGTCAGAGAACTTCAGAAAAAAAACAATATAGCTCCTCCTTTGGGACTCTGTTAGTTTCCTCTAATGCAAGACATGGACATGAGTTCAAGACCTCATTGTCAATTACTCTTCCAGGTGCCACATTCCCATCGCAGAACATCCCATGTTGGGCATTGCAAATGCCAAGGGAACTGTGGAGCTCTGCCACCTGACTGGAAGTGAGGTAGGTGACTGGGATGCAAGTCATTAATGTAAATGCCTCTAGTTTCATTAATAATGTTCAAAGGCTTTACAGTGTGGTGTTACTGAAAAGATGTCGGAGGCTCCATGGCGCTCTCAGTGACTCCAGGGCAAATGTGTTCAGTTTACAAGTGAGATTTTTTTTTTTGGGTGGCATTTTTCCTAAATGCCAATGCCAAAATTTGTCCCTGAGATCTGGGAGTCAAGCTTGCCTCTGTCCATCTGTGAAGAATGGACGGTGAGGGGAGAAATGGGGAAGGGTTAGGGAATGAGGACAGACAGCGCTTGGGGTCTTCAGTCTCTGGGGAGAAGAAACAACTGTTGAAAGAGCAGTTGGCAAGCTAGAACTGTGAAAGGAGAGTCATAGAAGCCCAAGAAAGAAAGTTTTGAGGAGGAGGCGTGGGCCATTGTCAAAGGCAGCATAGAGATTGAGTGTGAAGAAGGGGCTCTGTGAGGAAGAGGTTATTGATGACTAGATGGCAGTTTCAATGGAGTGGACAGAGCAGAAGCCAGCCTCAAGGTAAGTTAGGACACTGTGGCTAGATAGTCCTCTAGCCACAATGAGGTTTGAAATAGAGGAGCTGCTGGGATGGATAGTTGGGGAGGGAGGTAGGAGTCAGTGAGTTTAAGGACAGGAAATGGGAGGCACCCTATGTGGATAGTAGTCCTTGTATCTAGCACTTCAGTGGCTTATATGTTAGGATTTTTCTCTTCTGTAATGCCAAGGATCCTAAAATTCTCCAGGGTATGAACCTACAGCATCCATGGAATGCAGCCGCCTGTGGGATCCCCCAGTCAGGGGTGAAAGAGCAATTAGATACTGTCTATGTGGTTGTTTCTGTCTTCCTGATCTTGATCGATTTCCTTTTCTCTCCAGTAGAAGAACAGCTGCATGTTGGAGCCACTCTGCAGTGTTGATTTAGGAGCACAATGCATTGCCTTGTCTCTGGACTGGTCCACAGGACGGGAGCAGTGGTGAGGAGGGGAATAACTATGGCACTCTGTTGTACGGGGGTGTGTATGTGTGTGTGTGAGAGAGAGAGAGAGTCCATTGTCACTGGCACAGTCCCTGCTCTCAGGAGGCTTAGAATTGCCTTTGAAGCTCCTTCATGCGGAAACTTTTACTGTGGGGTCTCTGCCTATGAACCATTAACAAGGAAATGGCTTGGCAGCTTTAGTGCTCCATTTAGTCTGAGCCCCAGTAATGGGGAAGCTGAGAAACTCAGTTTAGAAGTGGCTGCTCTGCTATCTGCTCCCAGAGTTGATTCCAGGAATGTCATCACCATGTCAAATTAGTTAGATGTCACCCTCAGGCTGAAGGGGACTGTTTGTTTTCAGAGTTAGGGGGAGAGAGAAGTGTGGACTGATCATGGGGCTGGGAGCCAGGGGGAGTTCTGTAGTTGATATTGTTTAACTTAATTTGGTATCTTTTTTTTTAATTGCGTGTGCCCATTATACTGTGTCTGTGCACGCTGTGTAATGAATTGACAAAACTTCTGGACCTGGGCAAGTCCCTTTGTGTATATTTTTTCTTCTTCATCTTTAAAAAGGGATAACCACTATCTGTGTTGATTCAGAGGGGCATCCCTGTAAAGTCTGTCCCTGCTGCTCAATCACTTGGGAAGCAAAAGGCCTTCTACCTCCCATGGGGCTGAACATGCAGCATCTGCAGCATTCCCAGCCCCTGCAGACCCAGTGAGTGGGAGAGCCGTCTGGGAAGTTGCCACACAGGAGAGATGAGACATCTTACTGGGTGTTTCAATAGCGTTTTGGAGCTTACAGATGACCAAAGACCTTGTTTCAATTAATTATCCAAAATCAATATGAACTGATCATTTCCTGATTGAGAGCAGGGAGCTGGGATTGTGAATATTGCCGTGCTTCCTGTGCAGTGTGGACTGAAGATGAAATCCAGCTCTTAAGAACAGGGGACTGGTGCACTCTGCAGATGTCCAGCAATGGTGTCTGCTTGGAAGCCTTGCTCCCCTAGTGTTGGTCCATGTCTATGTTAATAGACAGATACTCATCATTTGTGTGTTAACTGGTCTTTTCAGGCTGTAACATGGCTGCAGGTGTGAAGGAGAAAGTCACTGGATTAAATGCTGGGACATGAGTTGTCTTAAACTCTAACATATTGTCTCTTTCCTGCTGTAGTGGGCACCCACTGAGAGTAATCAGCAGTGATTCAAAGGGGACGCTGAACCTACTGTCAATAGATGAGTCTGCTCCTTCTGTGAAAATCCTCAGCCAGTGGAAGGCTCACAACTTTGAGGCCTGGATTGCTGCTTTTAATTACTGGGACACAGACATTGTGTATTCAGGTGTGAACACCAGAAGCCTTTTCTTGTGGGGAGAGGGGCTATCAAAATACTCATTTCCATGGTGGCTGCCTCTCTTGCCTCTCCTACCCTTTGCATGTGCATCATGATGACGCTTCATGCTGCTGCACCAGCCAGCTGATATTTTCTCAGTGTTTGTGCCATTTCTCGGAAAAATAATCCTTGAAGGAGTGACTGTGGGAAGTTGTGGATATTAAAATGCCCACCCTGACTGTTCATTAACCAAGAGGGAGTAGTACATTGTAATCAGAACAGGAGACTGACGTGAAGGCTCTGGGATTCTAGTTCCAGCTCAGCCATTGACTTAGAGTTTAATCTTGGCAAGTCACTTCACTTCTCTGAGTGTTGATATCCCCATTGTGAAGTGAAGATACCTCCATAAACGGTTTGTGAGATTCAACTTATGTTTGTGAAGTGCTCTGAGATGCTTGGAAGAAAGGTGCCAAATAAATGTTGACTACTATTTACTTCCATTTTTTCCAAATTTACTTCCATTCCTTCTAACAGTTTCCCCTCCCTGATTCTACCTCACGCTTTTGGATGAAGTGAAATCTTTGTGGTACATGCAATAGCTCTGCCCTTCATTCCATTGAAAAACGCAAGTCCTGCTATGATCTTCTGAGTGCAACAGCAGTAAGGGCATTGTCTCCTGCTCTAGTCATGCTCCAGAGCTGTCAAATCTCAGCTTCTTCTATGGTGCACTGATTTCCCAACTAGTGTTAATACAGAGCCAATCTCTCCTTGTACAGGTGGAGATGACTGCATGCTGAGGGGCTGGGACACCAGGCGCTGCCCAGAGATGCCTATCTTCACCAGTGAGAGGTAACTAAGTCATTCAGACAGATGGTCATAGAATCATGATGCATGACTGACTATGACTAAGTGTGTTCTCTCCCAGAATTCCAGTTGAATGGTTAAAAGCTGACATTTAAATTTGAGGCATGCCATGGTCTTGTCTATCTGTGCCCTTTGTTCTGCTGCCTTTGGTTGGTTAGCTGCTACTTTGAGTGCTAGGTCATTTGTACTCAAGTTGTGGTGTTTGGGGGAGGTGGCGGGGAAGGGATCTTACTCCTTTTCCAAGGCTGTGGAGTGAGCAACTTCCTAACCTCTATGGTATTCTTGTGACTGGAGTAGTCTCTAGCCTCTATGCAGGGAGGTTTTGCTGGTGGATGTCCTGGCTCCATCCATGTCCTAAACAAAGTCACTGCTACATGATAGCATGTATGGATTCCTGTGGAGCTGGAGCTGAAGGACTTGTGCAGGAAAAATAAGAGCTATAGGAAACATGTTCAGCTTGCCTAAGAAATGTGGGGGGATATAAAACTACCAAGATTTTAAAGGTGTAAATGCTAAGTATGGAGGAGAATTAGTATGGTACAAGGAACTGGAACAAAAAGATGTGCCCATCCATAATGGAATGGAAATTGAGGCAAAATTTAGTCTAGATAGAAGAAAGAACTTCCTGACAAAGTTCTGTTGGGCTGTAGAATGCTTTTCTCCAAGGGAAGTGAAAAATCTATCACTGGACTAAATGCTAGAAAATGTCCTGCACTAGCCTCTGGGAAATGGAGAGACCTATTAAATTTACCAGTTTATCTCAGTCTGGGATTCTTTTGTCTCCTTTCCTCTCTGCATTCCCCACTAAAATGGTAGAGGTGAGTTCTTCTTAAAATAAGTGGATTGATGGAGACCAAGAAAAACTCCCAAGAGTAACATTATCTGCATTTTAAAATGACAGGGCAGCTTTTTGCTAAACTTTTATTTTTTCTCCCTTCCCATCCTTTTACATTAATTTCTTTTGTAGTTGTGTTTTACTAGACATATCGTACATTAAAACAGTGTGAACCACTTTTCAACTAAGCTCTGTTTATAATCCTAAAACACTGTGGTTTATTGTTAGTTACTACTTGGGGAACTATGTCAACGTCTCTTGCATGCAGCTATTTTGCAGAAACCCATGCCACATCATGCCATAAATTTGCTCCTCTGTGAATCTTGGAATTGCTGCCAATGAATACTCTCCTGCTAGAAAGCTGCATGGCAGGAGTATTGCTCTTAAGAACGCTCAAGACACACTTGGGCACTGGCAGTTTATATTTTCTGAGGCTGGAAGGAACCAATGTGATCATGTAGTGTGACCTTCTGTGTAACACAGGCCAGATAAATTTAATTGAATTAATTCCTGTTTTGAATTAGACCATATCTTCCAGAAAAACATCAAATTGGATTTAAAAATTGCCAGTGATGGAGAATCAACCATAACCATTGGTAAATGATTCTAATGGCTAATTGCCCTCACTGTGAAAATGTATGCCTTATTTCCAGTTTGAATTTGTCTATTTTCAACTTCCAGCCACTGGAGTTTGTTATGCACCTTTCTCTGCCAGACTGAAGAATCCGTTATTAAAAAAAAAAAAAAATTGTTCCCCAGTTAGGAACTCATTGACTGTGATCAACTCACCCCGTAACCTTCTCTTTGTTAAGCTAAATAGATTGAGCTCCATGAGTCTAAGGCATGTTTTTCTAGTCCTTTAATCATGCTCATGGTTCTTCTCTGCATCCTCTCTAATTTATTAACATCCTTCTTGAATTGTGGACACCAGAACCGGACACATTATTCCAATAGCAGTTGCACCAGTGCCAAATACAAAAGTAATATAACTTTCCTACTTTTCAGCTGATTATCCACCATAACTGCAAGTCTTTTTCACAGTCACTGCTTCTCAGGATAGAGTCCCTCAGCCTGTCAATATGGCCTGCATTCTTTGTTCCTAGATATAGGATTTTACATTTGGCTTATTAAAATGCATATTCATAGAATATCAGGGTTGGAAGGGACCTCAGGAGGTCATCTAGTCCAACCCCCTGCTCAAAGCAGGGCCAATCCCCAATTTTTGGCCCAGATCCCTAAATGGCCCCCTCAAGGATTGAACTCTCAACCCTCGATTTAGCAGGCCAATGCTCAAACCACTGAGCTACATATTGTGCTTTTAAAATGCATATTGTTTGCTTGCACCCAGTTTACCAAGCAATCCAGATCGCTCTGTGTTAGTGACCGCCTCCTTCAGTATTTACCACTCCCCCAACTTTGAGTCATCTGTAAACTCTATCAGTATTGATTTTGATTTCTTTCAGATCATTGATTAAAATGTTAAATAGTATAGGGCCAAGAACTGATCCCTAGAGAACCCCACTAGACATGTAACTGCTCAATGATGATTCCCTGTTGACATTTATATTTTGAGACTTGTCAGGCAGCTTTTAATCCATTTAATATGTGCCATGTTAATTTTGCATTGTTCTAGTTTTTAATCAAAATATCATCTGGTACCAAGTCAAACACCTTACAGAAGTCTTACATCAATGCCATTATCTTTATCAACCTAACTTGTAATCTCATTTAAAAAAAAAATTAAGTTAGTTTGACAAGGTCTGTTTTCCATACCCCATGTTGCTGGGTATGAATTATATTACAGGACTCAATAAATTAAAAGTGGGTATCACTGTTCCATTATTTTATCTGGAATTGGCAAAAGGACTACTCTCTTCCTGTGTACTGCACTACAATCACTATACCGGGGTTTAAGGCTGTCCTTAACTCCTTATTGTAAGAAGCTTTGTTGCAATGAAGGTCGCCCTAGAACTCTCCAATTTTGAGAACAAAAGAAACTGTCTTCTCACTTTGTGCACTCTTTCTTGGTCTCCATTCTCCGAATGCATGTTGTTCCTTTTCAGACATTCAATGGGCGTGTGCAGCATTCAGTGCAATCCACACCGGGAGTATCTTCTGGCTACAGGAAGGTGAGTTATCTCTAGATGCTCTGACCTGACATCCCCAACCTGCCTCATTATTTGCAGTCCATGGCTGCTTCCCCAAAAGCTCCTGTGGGAAGAGGCTGACATCAGTGGAGCGTGGTGGAAAGTGCATTGCATCCTCTTTATTCCTTCTGTGCAGTATGCACTAAAATTCCTTTTCTGTCTGTGCATGTTTATTTGTGGTGTGTTTCTAGCTATGATGAACACATTCTCCTGTGGGACACCAGGAATATGAAGCAGCCATTGGCAGACACCCATGTTGAGGGTGGAGTTTGGAGGTTGAAGTGGCACCCAACACGTGAGCACTTGCTGTTGGCTGCTTGCATGCATAATGGATTCAAAATCCTTGACTGCCAAGGAAGTATGGGTGAGTGTTCAATAGAGCGGGAAACAATGTTCTTCCCTCTCCTCCACACACCACTGTTCATCTTCCCTGACTACAGATGGAAGGGAAGGCCAGTGGATGCTACTGCACTGAATAAATGGTAGAAATATACTAATACTGTCAAGAAGCCTAGGTGTTCAATTCACTTGTAAGAACTCCTTGCTTGACATTTGAACTCCTCTATCCTTCCTCTGATGGACCAGCAATTTTATTGTACCATTTTGGAGTGGTCTCTCCAATCACAGTGCAGGCACACTGTAACTACTGATTTGTAACCTTTAACTGGTTTTCAGTCATATTATGCAAACCCTTGCATTCTGGCACGAGGGTAGTAGCCATTCATGTGGCCACTTCAGTTTATTGCTTCATCCAAATGACAGGATGATAAGACACTTCTGCATGTATGATTGCCTGTTAGGTGCTTCCTATTAACTTGGTAATAACTGTATCCTGAGCTAACGGGTCTGCTATTGAGAAAACTGGTTGCCGCCTCAAACAACCTCCAAACCAGTCCGAGCACAGTTACTGCATTAGGTATTAGTTATAGCTTGCACTTGTGTTCAGGCCATGCTACACAGGACTGCAGTCAGATTCCTGGTTCTGCCAGTGTCTGGCTGTACGACCTTGAGCAAGTCACCTAACCTCTCTGTGAAAAGGGGATAATACTTCATGTTGGAAGGGGTGATGAGGATGAACTGGGTCATATCTGTGCAGCACTTTGAAGTTGAAAAGTGCTATGGTTGATCAGTGCTAAACTCTTATTATTTGAACACTTAAAATGTGCTCTCCACCTCATAGAATGGAAGGTCAGAGATTCAGTGGGGACAACAACCTGCCATAAAAGAACATAGTGTATAGATCTTGGCAATTGTAGCATTTACAGTTTGTGAGAGACTTACTTTCATGGTGCCTCTCCTCTGAGCCCTTTAAGAGCTGCACGGGCATGCTGATCCTCTTCTCCCCTCCAATGAGCTGAGTGAAGATGAGGCTATAAAGAGGCAATAGAAAGTTGATGAGGAAAACTTCCTTTTTACCATTGCCTCATATCTGGGGGAGGTTTAGATTGGATATTAGGAAAAACTTTTTCACTAAGAGGGTGGTGAAACACTGGAATGCGTTACCTAGGGAGGTGGTAGAATCTCCTTCCTTAGAGGTTTTTAAGGTCAGGCTTGACAAAGCCCTGGCTGGGATGATTTAACTGGGAATTGGTCCTGCTTTGAGCAGGGGGTTGGACTAGATGACCTTCTGGGGTCCCTTCCAACCCTGATATTCTATGATTCTATGATCTCTTTGAAGGTGTCTGATTCTTTTTGTCTTGTGAAGGAGAATGGTAACCAGTAATACTTGGGGTGGAAGAGCAGAGTTCTTATTTACTAAATTGTCAGCACTAGAACAGCTAGCAGACTAGCTACCTAAACTGGGCTTCGCAGCTTGATTTCCACTTATTCTTCTTTTTAGCAGAAAACACCGAGGAATGCACTGTTGTGTCATCCTACATCTTGCATAACTCCTTGGCTTATGGAGCTGATTGGTCAAGACTCTCCCCAAGGGATCCCTTGGCTGTAAAACAGGACCCACTTTCTGCACCTGACTTGTCTGAGGGACCAGTGGCAAGCTCAGATCAAAGAGGCAAGAAACTGGATCTGCAAATCCAGAACCTGAAGATAGTTTATGAATCTCCTACAGCTACCTTTGATGTAGTGTTAGATGAGGAGGGTGAAGGCACTGCCTCACAGGTCAGACCAGAAAGTGGCTCTGATCCTCATTCTCAGTGTCTTGATGGAAGGGGATTGGACATCAAGAGTGATCAAACTGAATTAGCAAAGGCTCCAAGAGAGACCAGCATCCTAGCGACTTGTTCATTTTATGATAACATCCTACATGTTTGGAAATGGGAAACAAGTCAAATCAACCCTTCAGAGTAAAATACAAAAAATATTATTCCCACTCTGAAAACACAATTTCACTTGAACAGCCTTGAAAAGTGCCCCTCTTTCAAATGTCCCAGAGGGAAAGTATAGGAGACTTTTTGTATTGAGAACTGTATCTGCAGCCTATGTCCAGTATAACTTCCACTGGGGTTTTTCCAGTTTTATTGCCTGGGAGCTTAAGGCTCCTGAATTTCTGAAGACCTGTACTGTTAAATTAAGGCAACTACATTCTTAGTGTTTTGTGTCTAACTCTGACTAAATCAAAATGAATAGTCTCCTACCTTTGCTGAAGGACATAGTAAAACATGGGTGCTTCTACTTGGCTATCCTTTACTGTTGTGATTCAGAGTGATGATGGTGCATTTCAACAGATGCTTCTTTAGGCATGAAATTTACCTCCCTTGACGACTAGTCTGTTTGTAAGTCTTGCCTCCAGTTCCAGAGATGTGGATGGGTGCCATCTTTCCTTGTCCCTCTCTCCCAGCAGAATCTGCGTCCCCCGCATCAACCAAACTTTGCTACAACACTAAATTATTTAAGTCCACTGTTACATAATAGCCACAAAATTTGGATTTGAACGTTCAAGGGTGTTTGGGGTGTTTGAATATAAACATAGGCCACTGGCTTGTTTTGTAAACTGCCACATGCTGTGAGGACATGCTGCACAGGGAACCTGTTTATAGTGACCTTGGATAGAGAGAGATTCCTTTTAGAATGAAATCCCAGATTGTCTCAATGTACATGACAGAACAGATTGCAAGTGCAGCTCCAGTGAAGTTGTATACTGAAAAATGTCTTAATCATGAGGATTCTGCTGTGGCTGCGTATGTGTAATTTTACACCTAATTTACTGCATGAGTACAAGTTGACTTTCAGGTTATCACTTGTCAACAAGCACCACTTGGTTTTGCATGATCACGCAGTGAATCTCATTGTATATTAGTGCTTGCAGCAAAGAAATCTTTAAAAAAAACAAACTGTGCAACAAACCGATATCCCTGGTATCCAGAGAGTGAGACCTATGAGACTAGGGTCAAATCAGGTTTAAAAAAAAATGAGCCATTTTTTCAGCATAAATCTCAAAACCCCCAAACCCTGTTGGCAACACTTCCTGATGTTTAAAAAAAATAAAATTATTAATAATTCAATCCTAACTAGGATGTCTCCAGAATTCCTTGAGGTTGCCCTGTTGGATTCTTACTATGAAATATCAGTAAGTCACTACATTAATGGGGCACTACCTTGGTGTTCCTGATTATCAACAACCAAATACCAGCTTAAAATATTTAAGTAACTTCTAACTTGTAGGGTTTTTCTTTGGGAATCTTAATGAATCATTAGCCTAGAAGGGAAGAAACACCAGCAGCAACGATAGATTTTTGTAACAGTAAATACATACAGGCTATTAAAACAACATACAGAAGTAGCTAAGCTTCTCAAGGCGCAAAACCTTGTTTGTGGGTACCATGTGTATTTTGAGTGCTGTTTTATGGAGATGCATATCAGCATTGTGAACAAAAGTTTTTGTTAAAATTAAAATATTTTTGGATGTTTCTGAAATAAAAAGTGTAAGTGAGTTACATCTCTTCTTATCAGTTGAAAAGCTCAAGGAAACTCAAATATATTGGTCCTGTTCTGTGGTATCCACTGCTTGATTTCAGAGACAGATTATTGTTAAAGAGATACTCACCAAGCAACACACACTCTGTGCTTTTATTTTGAATGTGAGATAATGCTGCTGAGAACCAAGACTAAAAAACGAGAAACTGTCTGGGATTAGTCTACCAAATGTGAAATGATGCTGTCGGGAGGTAGTGAGAAGAAATGAGGAATAGAATTGTAGGAATGAGAAATTTTTGGCTGCTGATGTGCTATAGAAGGGAGAAGTATTTATTATGCAGACTAGCTGTGATTCTTGACCAGAAGATGATGACTTTTAGATGAGATTAGCACTGTTCATTTTTAAAGCTATGGAATCAAGCTGTATTCTTGTTTTGTGAAATCCAGCTTTACCAGTGCAGGTTTGTTCCATACACTTGTGTTTGCAAGCCTACAGTTAGGTGGCCCAAGTGCCAAGTTTCCGACTGTTTCCCTCATTTACAGTATTAACATTTTGTGTTTAGTGTAGCTATTAAAAAGACATTCCCTTTCTTGAAGAGTTCACTGCCTGACTGACAACGATCAAGACAGGACCCAGAGGAGAACATCTGGAAAGAAAGGGATGCAAAAGGTGTCTTAGCATACATTGTTCAGGTTTCAGAGTAGCAGCCGTGTTAGTCTGTATTCGCAAAAAGAAAAGGAGTACTAGTAGCACCTTAGAGACTAATCAATTTATTTGAGCATAAGCTTTCGTGAGCTACAGCATCTGATGAAGTGAGCTGTAGCTCACGAAAGCTTATGCTCAAATAAACTGGTTAGTCTCTAAGGTGCCACAAGTACTCCTTTTCTTTTTGCATACATTGTTCAGTTTAACAGATTGCTGTTGGGGAAACTTCCCCTTTCTCCATCCCTGCTAATAATTATATCCCTTTCTACTATCAAAAATAAAATGAGTGAACTTTCGCACCATGCTTTCTAGGGGGTTACTGAAAGCGTACACTGATAGTGGACATTCTGCTCAGCAGCTAGCTCACTCTGCCTGTAGCTTCTATGATGAATTTAACAGTCTAACCCCTAAATTGACTGGCTCCTATATTCAGCCTTTCAGTTCTTTGCCCAATATGCCCTCCTCATCCTTAAGTTGCTGTATAGCCTGTGATGGCTTTTATCTTCCAAGAGCTGCGGCCTGGTCTGAATTCCTACTGTCCTTAGTGCACTGAATATTATCAGTTAAATCTAATGACACTATTCTTGTAAGGCTAGGATTTTGTCCTTAATCTAATTTGAAAGGACTTTAATACTTTTTCATTGGCATGTCAGTGATTTTTAAGAGTTTGTAGCACATTTGGAGCTAGTGAAGTTTTGCTAGTGTTCACAGAATGTGCTCATATCTAGGTAATTTGCTAGACTGGAAAGGGCTTTGTATTTTTAGGTCTTACAAAAACCACGTGATGAATCCGTAACATATGTTCAACCATTTCAGGCTTATCCCAGGATAGCTGAGCTGAAAAACCATTCTAGATAACATGTTTCAGAGTAGCAGCCATGTTAGTCTGTATTCGCAAAAAGAAAAGGAGTACTAGTGGCACCTTAGAGACTAATGCTCAAATAAATTGGTTAGTCTCTAAGGTGCCACTAGTACTCCTTTTCTTTCTAGAGAACATGTATTTCCTAGGTCCCTTGTGCTTAAGAACTCCTGAGTGGAGGTGGGTGACTGGATTTTTTTGTTACTGGCTATTCTGAAAACATTGTTTCAGGTTGAACCCCAAACTGTTTCAAAACTTTTGCTGAATCAAAAATTCCAAGTAGGGTCAGAACAAAAGGTTTCATTTTGACCTGAACTTTCTCATTTCAATTTTGGGCATTTTGACATGCAAAGGTGTACTAGATTCATAAAATGGCCAGGGCAAGACTCCCCCCATTATAACCTTTAGCCCACTGGTTGCAGTGTTTCCCCAATGCTGGGTCTTGAACTAACTGTGGGGTCAAAGTGGTGCCCCAGAGATGTTCCCCACCTTTCTAATGGGCAGCAGCATGAAGGAAAGCCTCAGAGGAACATGTGGAACAGGCTACTGACTCTGCTATTTGGCTCAAAACACTTCCTCTGTGCTGCTGCCTGGATTCTGCTTTAGGCAGTGGGCTGGGAAGAGGGATCTGGGTACTACTAGTCACACAAAAGAAATGGCCAGAGTCAGCAGCCTGGAAGCAATTGCAGTCTAGCTGTGAGGGTAGAGGAGCTGACCAGGGCTGCAGGGAGAGCAAGAGCAAAGGAGAGCCAAGCAGGAGGTTTGGGGGCCAAATGGCTGCAGGACTGAGCACGAGGGACAGGACTAGAGGACTGAGGAGAGGGGGAGTAGTAGTAATAGTGGGTCCCCCAAAAAGCCACAATGCAGATGGTGGATCACTTTAGTAAAAAGTTTGGGAACCTCTGGATTCAGGGTACTCACCTGGGTTCTGTTCCTCTCCGCCTGATGTGGAGAAGAAATTTGAATGTAGGTGTCCCACTTTGCAGGATGCCCTAGCCAGAGGACTATGGGATACTCTGGTATTGGGCTTTCTCAATCTCTCCTGTGGAAGCTGTTCTGCTTTTTATAAATAAAGTCACTGGTGCAGGGACTTAAAGTTGGATCTCCCAAAACCTCGGTGAGCATCTAACCTATCAGGCTATAGTCATTCTATCTTTCCCTGGCTCAGTGACTATTCATTTTCATGCAACAATAAACAACTAATTTCAGCAGAGTAAAATCCCACCATTTTCATGAAGTTAAAATAGGTAGTTGATGGAAAAATGTATCTCAGATCTAGAAAAACCAGATGCCCTCTGAAAAAGATTGGACTAGAACCTGCTGCAGTGGGCATTAGTTAACTGCTCCCACCTCCTCCCCACCTTCCTCAAGCTCCTTTGCTTTTTTAAAATTAGAAACATAAAAGCTCAGGCACCCAGTTTTCATCATAAGTGAGATGCTGGCAAAGAGTACATTAAAGTGGCCATTCTTCTCCGAACAAGAGGACATAGGAATTACATCCTCATGCTTAAGAATCAATATTTTACATTTGCAAAGCCTTGTACAAACAAACCACAGCTAGACATTGGGAGTGTAAGGTTCCCCAGCTGTAAAACTGGAGAAAAGATTAATTGTTTATAGCAAACTTGCTGTGGGACCTTGAGCAGAACCAGGAATTCCTGCTTTCTAACACTTTGTCCATTAAACAATGAAACATCTTGATTTATTACTCCTGCTCATGTCATTTTATATGCCCTATTTACACATGGAGATGCCTTTTGTATCTCCAGTAAAAGGAGTTGATGAAAAATAAAGGTACTTTAATATTAAATCAATTTTTAAAATTCTTAAGATACAAGTACTGCTAGCTTAGATAAGTTGGAAGATGCACAGCTGCTGGTAGTGGTTGTGTGAGATAAGGACAAAGTTAATTTGATTTCCTTACACAAGAGCTTTAAAAAGTGCAATGCTCTGACATTCAGTTGCCTGACTCAGGAGCAGGCCTCAGTTGTACATAAATACTAGGGATATTGATTGCATCCAAAGAAAGTTGCCTTAAAACTGGGACTAGCCTCAGACTGGTTACATGTTTAGGTTTCAACAGGACAGTCCCCACCCTTTGAGACAGCTTATAGCTTAGGCCAAGGGTTCCTATCGTTCTTTTTGGAAATTTCCCCTTGCTCTTGTGCAATACTCCATTTATAATAATCCATTGTATATAGGATTGATATTTGGTCACCTAAGAGCAGGAAGATGGAAATTGCCCCAGGTACTTAGTGGTTGGCTTAATACCCTGAAGGATGAGCGCTTGTATCCCTGTCTCATCTAATGGAACAATCAGGGAACAATGGAAGCAGATGGCTGACTGGATGGATGAATGGACAATAAGGTGGATAGAAAGCTGGCTAGATTGTCGGGCTCAATGGGTAGTGATCAACAGCTCGATGTCTAGATTGCAGCCAGTATCAAGCTGAGTGCCCCAGGGGTCAGTTTTGTTCAACATCTTTATTAATGATCTGGATGATGGGATTAATTGCACCCTCAGCAAGTTTGCAGATGACACTAAGCTGGGGGGGAGAGGTAGATATGATGGAGGATAAGGTCCAGAGTGACCTAGACAAATTGAAGGATTGGGCCAAAAGAAACCTGATGAGGTTCAAGAAGCGCAAGGGCAGAGTTCTGTACTTAGGAAGGAAGAATCCCATGCACGGCTACAGGCTAGGGACCGACTGGCTAAGTAACAGTTCTGCTGAAAAGGACCTGGGGATTATAGTGGACAAGAAGCTGGATATTAGTCAGCAGTGTGCCCTGGTTGCCAAGGTCAATGGTATATTAGGCTGTATTAGGAGCATGGCTAGCAGATTAAGGGAAGTGATTATTCCCCTCTATTCGGCACTGGTGTATTGCGTCCAGTTTTGGTCCCCCACTACAGAAGGGATGTGGAGAAATTGGAGAAAGTCCAGCAGAGGGCAACAACAACGATTAGGGGGCTGGGGCACATGACTTATGAGGAGAGGCTGAGGGAACCGGGATTGTTCAGTCTGCAGAAGAGAAGAGTGAGGGGGGATTTGATAGCAGCCTTCAACTACCTGAAGGGGGGTTCTAAAGAGGATGGAGCTAGGCGGTTATCAGTGATGACAGAACAAGCAGCAATGGTTTCAAGTTGCACTGGGGGAGGTCTAGGTTGGATATTGGGAAACACTATTTCACTAGGAGGGTGGTGAAACACTGGAATGGGTTACCTAGGGAGGTGGTTTTTAAGGCCTTGGCTGAGATGATTTAGTTGGTGTTGTTCCTGCTTTGAGGAGGGGACTGGACTAGATGACCTCTTGAGGTCTCTTCCAACTCTAATCTTCTATGATTCTATGACAGCATCTGCTGCTTTTGATCCCAGGCCACAACATGAAAAGACACAGGTACGGCCCAGGCAATAGCTGGTTATATTCAACGCTCTGCCCTCCTCCATTTCTGAATTACAAATCTGGTTACTTTTTAAAAATGTTTGAGATATCTAAAAGTTACACACGACAAGTCAGTAGGATTTTCTTTTAATAGGTACTGAAAGAGGGCAGGATGTGTTTCCCTCTCTAGCCGAAATCTCCATATTCAACATTTTTAAAAAATTTCCTATGGATTAGTTGCTGCAGAAACTTTCAAGGGAAAGCTATAATATTCTTTGCTTCTTAACGCACATAGTTCTTGGGAAACAACTGGAAGAGCTTGCCTTCTTGAGTAGGTTCATATCCATATTTCTCAAGGTTATTGGGGTCAAAAGTTCCTTCTTTAATATCCTTCTCAATCTGTGGGGCAACAACTTCCATGAAAAGCTGTTTGGCCGTCAGTGGTGGTTCTGTCCCTTTAGGAGTCTTATAGGAAACATATGGTTTGAGCTTAAACCCTGTCAAATCCGGAACCACAAATTCAGGGACCATTTCCTTAATTTTGATAAATTTCCCACCTAAGGTGACATAACCCAATTTCCTGGCTCCTCTGCCTTTGTTATGGCTTCTGGGTCCACGTTTGCTGGTAAATTCAGCCATTCTGTCCGCACCTCGGACCAGGCCTCGAGCGAGGTTGGTAAGCAACCCCATGCTGAATGTCTGCAAGAGGAAACAAAAGGCGGCGTAAGAAGAGAGCGCGAGCGGCTGTTCCTCGCACGGCGCGTGGGTAGGACTCTGGCCTGCGCTTCGCTGGGGTAGAGAAGAGCCCGGGAGCTCCCGCTGCACACAGCGCCGCTGCTCCGAGCGGGCCCCAGCCCTCGCCGCTTCCCTCCCAGCCGTGGCGCCTGAGCAGCCGGCTGCCCGCGCGGGTGGGGACCAGCCCGCCGTGCCCGGCAGGCGCAGCCGGCCTGGGGCCCCCGAGCCACGGGCGGGTGGGGCCGCCGCGGGTCCCTCTGGACAGGCCGCCGGGACGAGGGGGTGGCCTGACCCGTCTCTCCGGCGCGGCCCCGCGCCCCCTGGCATCCGGCCCCGCGCCACCGACGGCGCCTCCGGCGAGAGACTCTCCCACATCCCGCCTCACCGGCGCCGCGCTCCCCCTCAGCCGCTCGACGCTCGCCCGCGGCGCAACTGCCCGCCCGCCCGCGACCGCCGTGACGACACGTGCCAAGGCTCTGGCCAATCAGCGCGGAGAGTCGGGCCGGCGAGAGGACGGAAACGTCATCGCGTCGCGCGTGCGCACACGGCGTCTTTTGCTGGCGGAAGCGGCCCGGGAAGCACGGTCCCGTTTCTTGAGTGACCTCTGCCCTCTGCCCTGACTTTTAACCCCTGACCTCCTTTGCAGGGCCCCCCCGTCTCCTGTCGAGAAGAGACGCTTTAACGGCGCCGGGAGCCCTCGGTGAGTCACCCCGCCTCCTGGGCGCTCCCGGCGCCGGCCCCGCTGCCCCAGGGGCTGGACCGCGAGCGTCCCGTCCCCGCCGTCCTCGCCTCGCCTCGCCTCGGCCCGGCCCGGCCCGGCCCGGCCCGGCCCGGCCCCGCGCCCCACCGGCCCCGCCTCTGCTGAGATTCCCGCGCACGCGAGGTCACCGCGGAGCTGGGTGCTGCCGGCGGCGGCGGGCGCCTCAGGGCAGCGGTTTGGAGCCTCTCCCAGCCCCTGGCTGCTCTGGGGCCTCGCTGGAGGCTTGGGCCCGATCTGGCCGTGGCCGGAGCAGTGACGGGCAGCGGCACGGGTAGGTGATGGGCCCCCGTTTACTCACGGCGCTTCTGCACAGAGTCCGCTCCCGCGCGGCGCGTCCCCTCTTGGATGCGGGGTTATTGCAGTGAGCGCTGGGTATCCCGGGGCAGCACTACGCTAACCTGCCCCAATGCTTGGTTGGGGTAGGGTGAGAATTATCATTGCTGTTTGCAGCGTGGTTTTCGCTGTGTTGGTCCCAGGACTTTAGAGAGACAAGGTGGGTGGGGTAACACCTTTTATTGGACCCACTTCTGTTGGTGTGAGAGACAAACTTTTGCGCTGACGCAGAGCTCTGCGTCGGGTCTGGGAAAGGTACTCGGTGTGTTTGAGTGCCTTTCTCAGACCTGAAGAAGATCTCTTTGTAAGCTTAAAAGCTTATCTGGCCCACCAACAGAAGTGGGTCTAATAAAAGACATTACCACATCCGCTTTGTGTCTCTATTTATTATTGTTTATTTATATTGCAGTAGCTATTAAAAAGCATTGAGCATTGTGCTCAGTGCTGTACAAACACAAAGGAGATGGAGTCTTCACCTTAGAGAGTTCTCAGTCTAAAGCCCCAATTGTACAGAGATGTACCTGCTTGCTTAATTTTACATATAGTGAATATTCCCATTGATTGTGCTGCAGTAGTCCTTCAGTGTGACTACTCATAATGCAAAAAATTAAGTCTTTAGAAGAGCAGGGTCTAAATAGACAGGAAAAAACATAAACAAAATGTCAAAGTATATTGTCAGGTTTCAGAGGAACAGCCGTGTTAGTCTGTATTCGCAAAAAGAAAAGGAGGACTTGTGGCACCTTAGAGACTAACCAATTTATTAGTTATGCTCAAATGCTCATGCTCAAATAAATTGGTTAGTCTCTAAGGTGCCACAAGTACTCCTTTTCTTTTTGCAAAGTATATTGTGAATCAGTTTCCTCCCCCCCATCCCCCCAAGCCTTGCAAAATTGTCATGTAAGTGTACCAGCCCAGGCACAAAAATCTACTTATCTACCCTTTTTGATGTTAATAATTAAAGAAAAATGATTTTTTAAAAGTAAAACTGACTAGCCTTTTAAGTGAATAAACAAAAAACACAAAGATGCTGCATCACAAAATGTCCTTCATTTTGACAGCTATAGTTTACTATAGTGGTTTTCAACCTTTTTTCATTTGTGGACCCCTAACAAATTTTACATGATTGTGCGGACCCCTTTGGAAACCTTAGTCATCGTCTCTGGACCCCAGAGACCATAGGTTGAAAATCCCTGGTTTAGTGTATAACTTAGGATACTTCATAGTGTACTAATGAATGTAACATTGTGTAGTCTGTCAAAATCAAATAAAAGCATAATGAGGTGGTAAGAATGCACTACATTTTAGTACAGGAGGTAAAGTGTACAGATTAATGGAATTCACATTTAAGCTAATAGAAAATCCTTTACATCCATTATACTTACAGGGGATGTTTCTTCATATTTAAATAATAAGACATGCATGATAGGGTGAATATTGTGGTTTTTTCCCCAGTTTTTTAAAATTGAGTTTCATTAGATCTCTGTGTAGTTAATATTTTTATTTATATAAATTTGTACACTGACAGAAAATAATGTTGTTTTTCATAATTTGAGCAGAAAAACTAAGATTCATAAGACTCAAAATAAAATCTGTTATACTTTTAAATATTTTACTTTTTCATTGTGGAATATGGAATTATTTACTAGAAATGCTGAAATACTTTAAAAATGTCCCTCAAAAGATATTTAATTAAAACTTTTTCTGTAAATAGTGACTAAAAGGGACAGTGTCAGCTTGAAATCTATTCTGTTTAAAAGAGATATAAGAAATTTAGTTTAAGGCACTTGTTGCTGCCTTTGAATCCCCATTCCAGTTTCTGTGGTTTTATTTTTTGTTTTGTTTCATTTTTAATGAATTTGTCTTCCCTGTTGCTGTGTAAAAGGTTGACAGCAGAGGAAATTGACTAATTGCGTGACTCATTGGATTAGCCACTGTTACCTTAAACTCAGTCTTTCAGGAAGATAATTTGTTGGGGTACAAAATAGGGCTGCTGTTTTTTAAGGCTTTGGGAAGAATGTTAGGCTATGTCTACAATTTTGTCATTCGTGGGTGTGAAAAAAACTCACCTCTGACATAAGTTTTACCAACAAAAATGCCGGTCTGGACAGCGCTATGTCAGCAGGAGACCATCTCCTGCCGACATAGCTATCTCTGGTCATTGGGGGTGGTTTAATTATGCTGACGGGAGAGCTCTCTGCTGCTGGCATAGAGTGGCTACATAGGAGACCTTACAGTGGTTCAGCTGCAGCAGTACAGCTGTGCTGCTGTAAGGTCTGTAGTGTAGACATAGTGTTAGTTTCATTTAATTACTGATTGGGTAATTATGAACTGTGCTAAAAAAGCAAACACCATGCAATGGGATAAGACAAGCTAATGTTCATCGCAGAAGCAGTATTTTTGGCACATATGTAGTACTTTATAGTATTGTTCCCCAGAAAACTCAAACTGTTTGCATAAAGGCATTATGTAGGATATGGTGACGCTGTGTATTAGAACTTCCTAGGTTGACCTGGCTACTGATCTGCAGTTCAGGTCTATGCTTTGAATTGTGTTAAGTATTGTGTCAGGTCTGGGTTTTCTAATGGTTCTACAAGTGGTAACGATATGGCTATGAAAGTATAAGGGAAAAGAAGCCTGTAACAGCTGATGGTCTTTGCCTGAAAACTGCATCATGTTAAAAGTGGGGACCTTGCTGGAAAATGGTGTTTGTTTTGCTGACTCAATGGTACAATTAGCTTGTTACGCCCACCTGGGTATAAGGAAAGTGGATATAGCCCTCAGGGACTGAGAGAGCACACGCTGCACTGTAGGGTTTGGAGCAAAAAATGAAACCTAAGCATAGCCTTATGCTCTGGTGAGGTAAGCATAGTGGTAGTCAGGCTTGAAGAGAAGGCTTGGGCTGGGTTTTCAGTTTGGAAGTAGTGGGTAAATACATTAAGATCCCAGGAGGGATGACTTTTAATTCTGTGGCCTTGTGTACATTACAAAGCCTTGACTTCTCTAGGCAAAAAAGTGTATTTTTCAATCTGTATTAAGCTAACCGATATTAAAATCTTAAGGTCGACAAGGCAGTTGCAGTTTTAAACTGAGTTAGCTGTTCGAGGTGAATGCCATAGGGTTTACCTTGAGCAGCTAACACAGATTAAAATTACAACTACTTTGTCCATCACTAGGATTTTAACATGGGTTAGCAAAACACCAGTAAAACTCATCTTTTTTCTCAGTGAAGATACAGGCCAAATGTTTAAAAACAAATCTCATTGTTGCTAATAGCAATTCAGTTGCACTTGTATTAGAAACAGTGGGAGCCCTAGCATGGAAGGCTCTCTGGCTCCAGCAGCCATTTTCAATATTATGTTTGGGACTTTCTTTGAGCAGGTTTAATTAATTTGGTGGGATGGGGGTGCTGGCTTGTTGTTTTCTGTTTGGGCTGCATATGAGACCCTTGATTGAAACCCATAAACACAGCTTGGTTACCATGTAGAGAGTTTCATTAATTATCATTGTTGTACTAAAATATTAGAACAGCAAATCATCACCCTGCTTGTTTATTTCTTCACTGAGAAACTTGCTGTTTCCTGTATTTTCTCTCAGGAAGATGAAGAAAAATGCAATATTTCTATTAACTTGCCTTGTCATGACAAATAAAGAAGCTTGGAGGATTAGTTCTCAAACACTTCGCATTATGGTTATTAACACTGACTGACTGTGGGAATGATGAATGTCACTTACTAACTAGGTTTTCTTCTCTCATTTATTTCCTCCCCTCCGCCCCAAGCCATGGGTGATGAGGACAGCAACTCCAGCCTTGAGGTACAGTATGCTGAATTTTTATATTTATACTCTGATTTATTCAAGCACTTATTGTGTTTCCAGTATCTGGAACTTAACGTGCCCAGTTTAGTAACATCTGGCTAACTTGTTAAAGAATATTGGCTTTAAATAAGAACTGTTCCACATGTAAGATATTTTGTTTTCACCCTCCAAAATCTTTAAAAGATTGGCCCCAGCTTGCTGTCATTTTTCTAATCCTCTTCATCCAGTTGCATTTCTTATCTCCTCCAGCCTTCATTATAGTCTAAGATATTACCAAAGTAACGCAACGTAAACTGCATATAATATACTCCCACACTTCTTTGGTTGCCCTGTCGCTTTCAGGCCCCAATCCTGTGTATGCTTATGGATGCGCTTAACTTTGCTCAGGTGAGTTGTCCCATTCATTTCAATAATACAGCCACAGACTGAAGAGCTGGAAAAAGGTAGAGTCCCTTGACAGCTGCCTTTTACTATGGCTATACCTTGATGTACTAAAATATATGATTTAATAGAGCCTTAAGGCAATTATGTGTTGGGAATTACTTATTCCTAGGGGAAAAAAAGGTAGGCCATGCCAGCTTTATTTAAATCACAGTTTCAGCAATCAAAGCATAACAACATGGAAACAAATCTACTTGACAAGCCAGGAGGATATCTGGTAATCTCAGAGGGAGCTGGTGGTAATAACAGCAAGACAAGGCTCTCTTTACTGGTGACTGCCCAGATGGGACATGCATCCCCGTCAGAAACAGCAAGGTAAAATTAGTTGTCAAGATAGAATTGTTGATTTACAGTCCCCGATGGACCCATAGTCTATTACAGCATGAACCCCGAAGAACATTCAGGGCACATTACCATATGAATTGCTATGATTTAGTAATTATTGGCAACAGAAGGTTGTGTATATTTGCCAGACATCTAAAGGGTATTGTCCTGGGAAGTAAACCATCTGGACTAATTCCCACAGGAAAGAGACTACTAGGAAAGAATAAGCAGGGATTAGTCTACCCACTAAACCGAACTCCGTCTTCCCCAGTCGCTATAGTATCATTCGAAAGAGATCCCATTGGGAACAAAAGAGCACAAGTTGTGGTGGGAGAAGACGTTGGGAATGGAACTACTCTTTGAATGAACAGGAAGGAGGAAGATTAAAAATAGCAGCATAAGGATTAAGCTAACAGTTGTAAGAATTTTTTACCTGTTTGTTTTCTCTGATAATCAGTGGTGGATTAATGGATGGGTCCTGTACCAATTTGGGGGCCCCTGCAGGTGTGCCAGAACCTGTGTAGAAGTGGGAGGGCCACCAGTGCTAGAACTGTGGCCCCACTCCCTGCTCCTCCTCTTCCCCCTGAGGCTCTGCTTCCAGCCAGGCTGGAAGCCAGAGGTGGGCCATGGTAAGAGCTGCCCCAGAGAGCCTGGCTTGCTGTGGGGAGCCTTGGACCCTCCACCTCTCCTGGGCAGTGGGCCAGGTGACCTGAGAGCAGCCCTCAGTATGTGTCCCTGTCCCCTGGCGTGTGCCGCCCATGGTAGGTGGAGAGTCTGGGGCTCCACATGGTTGTCTGGGCTCTCTGCAGCTCTTACCATGGCACGGCTACAGTTTCCCGCCTGGGCAGGGGCCTTGAGGGGAAGAGGAGGAGCCGGGGGTGGGGCCTCATGGTGAGGGATATGTGGGGGGCCAAATGTTCTTTGTGTCCAGGCCCCAAAAAATCTTAATCCACCTCTGCCATAATATAATTATGTATAATTTAAAGCAAAGCTTGAAAAAGTTACCAGACACCTACTCGTTAGGTGATTTGAAATATTGAAAGGGGTGGCAGGTGGAAGAGAACTCAGGACTACAGTACCCCCAACTGCTGGAATTTCTGTAAATATGCTGGCCTGGACCTTGTTGGAGGACTCCATCTTTCATATGGCCTTTGGCTAGTGAGTCTCGTATGTTTAAACCCGTCCTGTCCCACATGGGTTATGAGGGAAAGAAGAAACTTTCTCTCTGCCCCTTCTATTCTTGACTGTTGAGTTGAGGGTTGCTCTACTTCTCTTATCCTTCACCCAAGTTCCTGGCTACTGCTCCAGTAAGTGTGTCTGTACTGGTCTGTCCGTAACCCAGTATCTGCATATTGTGTCCCGTCTCATCCATAGTTTGGTACTTACTTCTGCTATATGCAGCATTTTTAATAACAGCTCTTGAAATGACCAGTGTTTTACTACTTTCCCTTGGCAGCTGCGATCAGCAGTGGAGCTGTTCTTATAATCAGGAGTAACATACTGCATCAGTTCATATTTTGAAAAATGTTTCAGGTTATCATTAGTACTAGAAACCTAACTTTAAAAAGGAGTCCAAAGTAGGTTGGAAGCTGGTAGTTTAGAATTTTTCTGTTTAATGTTCAGTGTGTAGGAACTGAGTGCTAAGATTGGTGCAGAATTATTTACGTAACCTTAAATTGTGATTTCCATAGTCTTTGAGTTTTTCTGTGCCTGTGTATAATGGTACACCTTTTCTTGAATTGCACTTAGCAATCTGAATTGTGTCTTCCTAGGCAATTATTTTTAAAAGTATTATATGATCTTATTTCCTTAACATCACTTTTAAGGGCTTTCAGACTTTATGTAGGAGGTTCATAGACTCATAGATTCCAGTGCCTGAAGGGACTATTGTGATCATATAGTCTGATCTCCTATATAACACAGGCCATAGAACTTTCCCCCTCAAAATTCCTTTTGAGGTGATATATCCTATGGATCTTGTATAAATTATTGTATCTAAAATTAGTTTGTTCTGGTAACAAATTGGAAAAATTGTGGCTTTGTGATGGTACAGAAAGTTACTATTTTAGGTGACTGCCCTCAAATCACAGCTCTCATTTGCTTCAAGTATATTGAGAGTTATAGTGCATTTTAGAAACATAATGTATTCATACAAAATATTGGTACAGTTCTTAAAATATTAGGTCTTATTTTGAGAAAGCATGTTGTATATTTCGAAACTGTATTGCCTTCGGTACAGATTTCCTGTCCTCTTAGAACATATTGTCAGATTTGAAATAAAGAACACCCTACAGAGGCGCAGTTTGTTGGTGGGACTGAGAGAACACTGCACTGGTTATGTTTGATTAAGTTTTGGAAAATAGATTTGTAACCATAAAGGCTAGAAAGCTCTTTAAAAAAGTTTTATTTATTTATTTTGTTTTTAGATGAAAACTAACTGAACTCTGCAGTGGAATGGAGCCATTGTTGACTTAAAAAAAACCAAAAAACTGTGGAATTCATGACAGTGACAAACAGCCAGCCATAATACTCTTTAGGCCAGATTGAGCACTTATCTGAAGTTAGATGACAAAACATTTGACGTCTAAAACTTCACAGTCAACAGTTGTTTTAGACTAACTGCTGTAAGTTCACATTTTGAAAGTTATCTTCACAACTAAAAGGGTTAGGTGTATGCAACTTCAATTTTGTTAAAATAGCTTGTATTTTGCAGAATCTGAATGTCAGATTGTAAATTTATCAAACAAAGTTCCTGACAGGTATATTGTACAGTTAAACTTATAGCAAATAAATAATTGAAATATTTTTAAAAATTTGAAATTGCTGGCAAAGTAAATAATCACTGCAAAGCATTGAAATATACATATGTATGAATTTTTAAACTTCTGAAATGAATGAGTGGTCAGTTGTAAATGGACAAAAATCCCCCCCCTTGTGAAAAATCAGATTTTTGTTTTGAGTTTTCATATAAGTAGTTCTGAAAACAATCTAAGAACACTATGTGCTTCTACAACTAAAAAGTTAGTGAATAAAGTAAGCTTTATAATGGAACATAGATTGCCACTCAATAGTTAAAATTGTAATCCGTATCTCTCTAAAACAGTCAAGAATCATGCTGTGTAATTTGGATACACAACAGGAAACATTTATGTGGCAGCTGGGTGGGATCTCCTGCCTTCAATCAGAATATGGCTGTGGCAAGAGGGAAAAGCTGAGGGTTACTCCTGGGGGAATTTTGCAACAAAAAATTAAAAATTCTGCACACAATATTTTACAAACATACTTGTTGACAGGTATTTTAACGATACGGACAACAAAAAAGATTCAGGAAATGTTTTTGGACAAATAGATTCCTTACTAGGCATATTAATACAGAACTCTGAGTAATAATTCATTTAAACTACAGTACAGAAACGTATTTCCCGCACCCCTCAGAAGCGGTGCAAAGGCTTGGGAGAGTCAGGGGTAACGGAGAAGCTGAGGGAGAGGGAGGTAAATTGCTGGGAAGGAGCCTGGGTGTGAATTTGGAGGGTTGTTGGGCATGGGTGGGAAAAGTATGGAATAAAAATTTGTGGGGGCAGGGAGGGATTGTTTGGGAGCATCCCCATGCAGACCCTGGCTGTCCCCTAGCCTCTCCCATTTAGTCAGGCACATCTGCCCCTGTCCCCATGTGTTCCTGTATCCCCATGTGTCCTTGCACCCCCGTCCACATGTGTTCATCTGCCTCCACTCAGACACCCACTCCCCCATCCCTGTGTCCCTGCCCCCACGTAGCTCTGTGCCCCCATTCAGCCACCCCCTGTCCTTATGTGTCTCTGAACCCACTTAGCCACCCTCTGTCCCTGTGTAGCTCTGCACCCCCTCTCCCATCACTATGTGGCCCTGAACCTCCCTCCCCCCTGTGGCCCTATGCCTCCACTCTCATTCAGCCCCTGCCCCAGTCTGTCATCCCCCACTAGCCCTTATGAGCCCGTGTCTGACCACCCTCCAGCACCCTGCGCTGTCTATTTCCCCATAGCCCATGTCTCCTGACCTGGCCTGACAGGTGCTGTGAAGAAGGCAGGCTCTTTCTCGTCTTTAGCTGGCTGGGAGCTGCTGCTGCGCTGTAGTGGCACAGCACCCTCTGGTGGGCAAAAGGCAGAACTGCAGACACATTTTGGCAGAAGCTTTTTTTCTGCACAAAAAATTAAAAATATGCTTGGTTCATTAAACATGTGCAGTAGCACAGAATT